GGAGAGTCTCAATAATCCAGCTCATGGAAGTCCCATGGTGCTCTTTCCAAAAGGCCACTGGGCTTTTCAGTTTCCTTCTTTGATTCTGGTCCAACAAGCTTCTTCTACTGCATTTCAGTCTGATGTACATACTTCAGATCTATTTCTTCACCCCTCTCCATTTACATTCTCCGATGAAATCCTCTTTCCTTTCCTTTCCTCTCCTTTTTCTATCTTTCCTTTCCTTTCCTCCCCTTTCCCTTTCCTTTCTTTTCTTCCCCTTCACCTTTTCTTCCTTCTTTCCTTTCTTTTCCTCTCCTTTCCTCTCCTCTCCTCTCCTTTTTCTATCTTTCCTTTCCTCCCCTTCCCCTTTCCTTTCCTTTCTTCCCCTTCACCTTTTCTTTCTTCCTCTCCTCTCCTCTACTTTTTCTATCTTTCCTTTCCTCCCTTTCCCCTTTTCTTTCTTCCTTTCCTTTCCTCTCCTTTCCTTTTTCTATCTTTCCTTTCCTCCCCTTCCCCTTTCCTTTCTTCCTTTCCTTTCCTTTCTTTTCCTTCTTGCTCTCCCTCTCCCTCTCTCAGAAGAAAATGGAGCCCAGATTCTCTCCATCCATTATCCTCGGTTTAAGCACTTGATAAACATATAGGTCTTGTCTTTGTTCTTGACTGTGGATTCCAAAGCAGGCAGGCATGAAATACAGACGATGGAGACATTGATTTTCCAAGAATGGAATTGTTCTGATTTTTGTGACACATATTATTGTTTGGAAAATAAAGTTGATCAGGGGGATAGAGAGCAACCAAATGTCTTTTAATAAGAGTCCTGATTTCTAGTATCTGAATTTCCCCAATACGAACCTGTGACACCAGTAAAAATATCTTCAAGTCAAGATCCTCTCTCAGTGAATGCATTAATCCATCTGTGTGGTTTCTTATGAAAGATTGGCTATTATTGTCTTCTGCAACCTCTTCTTAATTTTAAGAAGTTTAAGATTTGAGACAGGTGACTGCCCAGGCTCTTCTTAAAAACCTCCAGTGATGAAGCACCCACCACCTCTGAAAGCAAGCTATCCCACTGCTTAATTGTCCTCACTGTTAGCAAGTCCCTCCTGAATTCCAGGTAGCTTTTGTTCATTGATTAGCTTCCATCCATTGTTTCTTCCCTTCCCTTCTGGTGCTTTGGAAATTATGGGACTGGAGGCTAAAACATAGGAAGAACGGTTGCAGGAACTGGTTATGTCTAGTTTAATGAAAAGAAGGACTAAGGGAGACATGATAGCAGTCTTCCAATATCTCAGGGGTTGCCACAAAGAAGAGGGAGTCAAACTCTTCTCCAGGGCACCTGAGGGTAGAACAAGAATCAATGGGTGGAAACTAATCAAGGAGAGAAGCAACTTAGAACTGAGGAGAAACTTCCTGACAGTTAGAACAATTCATCAGTGGAACAACTTGCCTCCAGAAGTTGTGAATGCTCCAACAGTAGAAACTTTTAAAAAGATGTTGGATAAGCATTTGTCTGAAGTGGTGTAGGGTTTCCTGCCTAAGCAAGGGCTTGGACTAGAAGACCTCCAAGGTCCCTTCCAACTCTGTTAGTCTATTCTATAAGTTGACCCCCTCTTCTTTCTGGCAGCCCCTCGGATACTGGAATAATGCTGACATGTCACCCTTTGTCCTTTTTTTCTCTAGATTAGCCATATCGAGTTCCTGCTATCGTTCTTTGTATGTTTTTAATCTCCAGGCCTTTCATCATTTTAGTTGCTCTTCTCTGCACTTTTTCTAAAGTCTCAGCATCAATAACACTTCCTAATAGGTCTCATATCCACGTGCTAGCAAGATTCAAAATGTCTCTAGCTTTTTAAGAATCAACCAAGGTTTGCCACTTGGAAATAGATGCTAATATTCAATATGTAATGACTGGTTACCTGTAGGGAACTTTGCAATTCCAAAGCACACCAGAACAACTAGACACAAGGACAGTTTTTTCCTTGCATGCACAGGTGTGGTATTCAGCCGGTTTAGAGTGGTTCACCCAAACCACTAGCGGAAATCGTGGGTGCCGCCCGCCATGCTCTATGCTGTCCTATTTAGGCACATTTTTTAGGTCGGGCGCATGCACGGAAGGCACATGTGTAAGCAAAGTGTATGCGCAGAAGGCCGGGTGCGTGCGGGGCGAACCAGTAGTAACAAAATGTGAAACCCACTGCTACCTGCATGCCATCGCTCTGCTAAACAACTAATTCCCACAACACTGTCAAACTGTTTACTAAGAGACTACAATTAGTCCAGAATGCAGCCCCGTGAGCGATACTGGGTGTACCAAGGTACACCCACACTACACCTATCCTCCGCGAGCTGCACTGGCTCCCTATTGGTCTCCGAGCACGATTCAAGGTGCTGGTTATTACCTTTAAAGCCCTACATGGCCTAGGACCCGGATATCTGTGAGACCGTCTTCTGCTGCACACCTCCCAACGGCCAATAAGATCGCACAGGGTGGGCCTTCTCCAGGTGCCGTCGAATGGACAATGTCGGCTGGCGGCTCCCCGGGGGAGGGCCTTCTCTGTAGCCTCTCCGACCCTATGGAATGAGCTACCCCCAGAGATCCGGAGCCTACCCACTCTCATG